TGCTGCTGCTGAAGGTGCCTGCAACAGTTGTTGCTGCTATGCTGCTGCTCTCCCCTGTCCCCCCCATCTCTACGCATGCAGCCTCTTGGGGCTTGAAGCAAACAAGACAATCAGGAGAGTGTAGCTGCTGCTGCAGCAGCGCGAGTTGGTGCTGCTGCAGCAGCGCCAGCTGCTGCTGCTGCAGCGCCACCTGCTGCGGCCCTAACTCCCACAGCAGCTTCTCCTGATCCTCATCCGCCAGTTGCTGCTGCTGCTGCTGCTGCTGCTGCTGTTCAAACTCTGGTTTGTCTGCTGCTGCTGCTGCTGCTGCTGCCGCTGCAGCTTCCTCGAGAGCCTCCTCTTGTCCTTGCTGCGGCTGCTCCTGCAGCTCCAGCTGCTGCTGCTGCTGCTGCTGCTGCTGCTGCAGGGCCTTCTTGCTGCTCCAAGGCAGCAGATACAGCAGCAGCACGGATGTTGTTGCTGCTGCAGCAGCAGCACAAAAGAAGACCTGCCGCCACCCAAGTGCTGCTTCCACCACAGCAGCAACAGCAGTTGCAGCCATCGCCCCTGCAGCAGCAACAGCAACAGCAACAGCAATAGCAGCAGCAACAGCAGCAGCGAATGAGCGTTGTTTCCACATATATATAAAACAAACCGACGACAACAAAACGAAGCAAAGACAAAAGCAGCAGCAGCAGCAACAGCAGCAGCAACAACAGTCGGAACACTAGAGCAGCAGATACAGCAGCACAAACGCAGCAACAGGAACAGCAGCAACAGCAACGGCAGCAACGGCAACAACAGCAGCAGCAACAGCAGCAACAGCTGCAACGGCAACAACAGCAACAGCAACGGCAAGAACAGCAGCAGCAACAGCAGCAGCAGCAACGGCAACAACAGCAGCAGCAACAGCAGTACAAACGCTGCAACAACAGCAACAGCAGCAGCAACAACAGCAGCAACAGCAGCAACAGCAGCAACAGCAACAGCAACAGCAGCAGCAAGAATACCTGTTTGCTGGGAGGTGGTCCACAGTCCTAGAGCTGCTCCTCTATTCTCAGCAGCAACAGCAGCAGATACATACTGCAGCAGCAGCGGGAAGAGCGGTGCATGCGCGAGGCCATTGAAGCCCCAAAGCAGCAGCAGCAGGTACTTGCTGCTGCAGCATGCGAATGCTGCTGTTGCAGCAGCAGAGAACATAAAACAAAGAGAAATAAAAACAGCAGAGTGCTGCTGCGGCACAGCAGCAAGCAGCAGCGGCAGCAGCAGCTGGCCAACAGCATAACAAAACAAAAACGAGGTGTCTATACACCCCAGCGTTTGTGTAGACAAACCCAAAGAAGCATTGAGGGCCCCCTTCACTATACTTATAGGTTTTCTTGTGCTATAGAGAGAAGAATAAGCAACATAAGTAACAATAAACAGAGGCAAGCTAGAGACAGACACAGGCAGCAGCCGCAGCAACCCTATACACCACCCCCGCTGCTGCTGCTGCTCCTGCTGCTGCTGCTGCTGTTGATGGGGTGCAGACAGAGGTGCTGCTGCAGATTCACGAGACAGCAGCTGCTGCTTCTCCTGCTGCTGCTGCTGCTGCTGCTGCTGATGCTTTTGACGACGTGATGGATGCCAATACACACCCGTAGACTCAGAGTCTGTTGTTGCTTCCTGCTGCTGCTGCTGTTGCTGCTGCTGCTGCTGCGGTTGCTGCTGCTGCTGCTGCAGTTGCTGCTGTTGCTGCGTCCTACGCAAACAGCTCGTCCGCTTGCTGCTGCTGTGGGCGGGAAGGGGAAACAAAACTCTGCTGCTGCTTCTGCTGAGGAGGCTGTCATTGCTGCTGCTGCGGTTGCTGCTGCTGCTGCTGCTGCCATTCCTGCTGCTGCTGCTGCTGCTGCTGCGACTAGCTAGACGTCTATGGAGCCTCGCTCGGCTGCACAACACACCACACACAAACACTTCATCGTTGACGTTGCTGCTGCTGCTGCGGCTGCGGCTCCTGCTGCTGCTGCTGCGGCTCCTGCTGCAGCAGCAGCAGCAGCTGCTGCTGCTGCTGCTGCTGCTGCGGCAGCAGCACATACCTGTAGCGGTGCGGGAGGGAGCGGCTGCTCGCAGCCCCCGGCGGAATCATCTTTGG